GAACGAGGATTCCTTTTGGAACCCTTTTACATCCCAATCACACAAAATTCCCCTGAATCTTCCTTCCCCTGTATCTCAGGTTTTGAAAGGAACGGAAAGTAATTAGAATGGAAGTATCTTGTAGATGCAGTAATCATGTTTATAGTATTGAATGGTGGAGATGTAGGGTGAAGCATGATGATTCTGTTGTTGGGAGTGTTTTATATGTTCTTTTTATTTTATTTTTTATTTATTTATTTTTTTTTTTTGGGGTTTTGGGGCAAAGAGCTATGGAAGATTAGAGCTTGCTTTTGACTTGCGCACTAGGTACTAATTAACTGCGTGGGGAGGGTCGGTTTTAGGCCTTCGATATGTAGTGGGAGTTGTAAAAAGGACAGCAATTTTTTTATACAAAATTTTAATATAATCTTATATAATAATTAATTTTTTTATTTTATTAAGATTTATGGTATTGTATATTTTAATTTAATAATATATAAAAATTATAAACAAAAATTATTTTACCCTTTTACATGTTTCTCTTAGTGAGAATTTTTATAATAAGAGTTAGACATTAGAGTAACTATCACTTTAGTTCTTAAATAAAATAGTTAATTTATCTTACCAATAATAATATTAATAATAATAGATTGTCATGTTATGTTAAAAAGAAACAAAAATAGAGTCCCAGTTAAAATTTCTTCCCTCCTATATCTGAGGCCTCTTTGTTGATGGTTGATGTGAAAAAGAAATCCAGAGGAATGACATGTGAAGGAATAAATAAGTGAAGTGTCACTCTCAAAGAATTTGGTGCTTGTTTCACTAAATAGATTGATATTTTAATACCATCCATATGATTTGCTTTTCGTAAGCCTATATAAGGATGGGAGTTCGATGGCAAATGTTAATCAAAGCAAGCACTCAAATTACTTGGGTTTGGAGATTTTCAGTGAAAAAAAAAAAATGAAAAAGGTCGGTAGCCATGGTCTCAGCAAGGGTAGCCAGGGTGACAACTAAGATAACCAGGGTGCACCAGCCAACAAACGGAGCTAAAAGTGGCAGCAACGCATTTACTAACAATTTGCCCATTGGTGAAGTTAAGCAGGGATCCAACCAAGGTAAGGTTTGCTGCACACCCGGCGAGAAGATGACTTCTGGGACTGGGAAGTTGAACTAATTGCAAGGGTTGTATGTCTAATTATAGCAGTAGACACCGAATGCGAATGGTGTTAACCCATTCCTTACGCTATCCTATATATCAATTAATTATGCTGCTGCGTCCCTACCATGTATTGGATGTGACCTTCATAAATATTAAATTATGTTGTACTAAAATGAAC